GTGTATTGGAAGGGTGAAGTAGTATGTTCACTGCGGCGTCTGATGTGTATTGGATGGGTGAAGTAGTCTGTTCACTGCGGCGTCTGATGTGTATTGGGTGGGTGAAGTAGTTTGTTCACTGCGGCGTCTGATGTGTATTGGATGGGTGAAGTAGTCTGATCACTGAGTGCTCTGATGTGCATTGGGTGGGTGGAGTAGTCTGTTCACTGTGGCGTCTGATGTGTATTGGAAGGGTGAAGTAGTTTGTTCACTGCGGCGTCTGATGTGTATTGGATGGGTGAAGTAGTCTGATCACTGAGTGCTCTGATGTGCATTGGGTGGGTGGAGTAGTCTGTTCACTGCTGGGTGTGATGTGTATTGGAAGGGTGAAGTAGCCTGTTCACTGCGATGTCTGATGTGTATTGGAAGGGTGAAGTAGTATGTTCACATGGGATGTCTGATGTGTATTGGATGGGTGAAGTAGTATGTTCACTGCGGCGTCTGATGTGTATTGGATGGGTGAAGTAGTCTGATCACTGAGTGCTCTGATGTGCATTGGGTGGGTGGAGTGGTCTGTTCACTGTGGCGTCTGATGTGTATTGGAAGGGTGAAGTAGTCTGCTCACTGCGTGCTCTGATGTGTATTCGAAGGGTGATGTAGTCTGTTCACATGGGATGTCTGATGTGTATTGGGTGGGTGAAGTAGTCTGTTCACTGCTGCGTCTGATGTGTATTGGGTGGGTGAAGTAGTCTGTTCACTGCTGCGTGTGATGTGTATTGGATGGGTGAAGTAGTCTGTTCACTGCGGCGTCTGATGTGTATTGGATGGGTGAAGTAGTATGTTCACTCTGTGGCGTCTGATTTGTATTGGATGGGTGAAGTAGTCTGTTCACTGCTGCGTATGATGTGTATTGGAAGGGTGAAGTAGTTTGTTCACTGCGGCGTCTGATGTGTATTGGATGGGTGAAGTAGTCTGATCACTGAGTGCTCTGATGTGCATTGGTAGGGTGGAGTAGTCTGTTCACTGCTGCGTGTGATGTGTATTGGAAGGGTGAAGTAGCCTGTTCACTGCGATGTCTGATGTGTATTGGAAGGGTGAAGTAGTATGTTCACATGGGATGTCTGATGTGTATTGGATGGGTGAAGTAGTATGTTCACTGCGGCGTCTGATGTGTATTGGATGGGTGAAGTAGTCTGATCACTGAGTGCTCTGATGTGCATTGGGTGGGTGGAGTGGTCTGTTCACTGTGGCGTCTGATGTGTATTGGAAGGGTGAAGTAGTCTGCTCACTGCGTGCTCTGATGTGTATTCGAAGGGTGATGTAGTCTGTTCACATGGGATGTCTGATGTGTATTGGGTGGGTGAAGTAGTCTGTTCACTGCTGCGTCTGATGTGTATTGGGTGGGTGAAGTAGTCTGTTCACTGCTGCGTGTGATGTGTATTGGATGGGTGAAGTAGTCTGTTCACTGCGGCGTCTGATGTGTATTGGATGGGTGAAGTAGTATGTTCACTCTGTGGCGTCTGATTTGTATTGGATGGGTGAAGTAGTCTGTTCACTGCTGCGTATGATGTGTATTGGAAGGGTGAAGTAGTCTGTTCACTGCAATGTCTGATGTGTATTGGGTGGGTGAAGTAGTCTGTTCACTGCGGCGTCTGATGTGTATTGGGTGGGTGAAGTAGTCTGTTCACTGCGGCGTCTGATGTGTATTGGAAGGGTGAAGTAGTATGTTCACATGGGGTGTCTGATGTGTATTGGATGTGTGAAGTAGTCTGTTCACTGGAGCGTATGATGTGTATTGGGTGGGTGAAGTAGTCTGTTCACTGCTGCAACTGATGTGTATTGGAAGGGTGAAGTAGTCTGTTCACTGCAATGTCTGATGTGTATTGGAAGGGTGAAGTAGTCTGTTCACTGCGATGTCTGATGTGTATTGGAAGGGTGAAGTAGTATGTTCACATGGGATGTCTGATGTGTATTGGATGTGTGAAGTAGTCTGTTCACTGCGGCGTCTGATGTGTATTGGGTGGGTGAAGTAGTCTGTTCACATGGGATGTCTGATGTGTATTGGAAGGGTGAAGTAGTCTGTTCACTGCGATGTCTGATGTGTATTGGAAGGGTGAAGTAGTATGTTCACATGGGATGTCTGATGTGTATTGGATGTGTGAAGTAGTCTGTTCACTGCGGCGTCTGATGTGTATTGGGTGGGTGAAGTAGTCTGTTCACATGGGATGTGTGATGTGTATTGGATGTGTGAAGTAGTCTGTTCACTACGGCGTCTGATGTGTATTGGGTGGGTGAAGTAGTATGTTCACATGGGATGTCTGATGTGTATTGGATGTGTGAAGTAGTCTGTTCACTGCGGCGTCTGATGTGTAGGCCCTATTGGGTGGATGAAGTAGTCTGTTCACATGGGACTACTCAACTCGACACACAGATCAGTTGAACATAATAAGAAAAGCACGCATTATAAGTTAAACACCCCGCTGTGACGAGAGACTTACTTACCAGTCCTTGAAGACGTTCACTGAACGCGACCATAGAAAACACAAACACGATATTAAGCAAATATACATAACTTTATTTTTGTCAACTGCACGCTCTTGACGTATTTTCACAACCATGTTATGCACTGACAACGAGGTTACATCAGCGAGACCCCCAGTACATCAATACATTAACCCTACACGTAACAAGCACAAGTCAGTGGAACTTGAACAGTTCCTTATCAGAGGCAGGTTTAGTCAGTTCGGGGGCCATACTGCTAAAAGCGAAGTGCGCTAAGCCGAAGGCCTCTTGACAACTACCCGGATGTACCGTGTGTCAAGTCTATTCTTAGACAACTAACCGGATGTACCGTGTGTCAAGTCCATTGTTGGAAACCGCAGGTATTATTTGGCACGAACATTGCTCTAAACGGAGCGTAAACATACTCAAACACATGGCAGGAGTGATCTGTGCCTTTTAATTCTGATATATTTGATATATGGGATTGGTAGGACGGGAATATTTAACTTTTTGTCCACGGTCACTACAGAGCATAGAGCATGTCGATCTGGGTGGGGTATGACAGGAATATCGATAGTGAATGTGTATGAATATATCATAGTTATTAGGATATTTTCATGTTGTTTTATTTTTTTCTGCATTAAATTTTACGGAAGTTGAACTTCATACAAACGTAATTATTGCTTCACTTTATAGTTTGTGTTATTCTCTGAAGTTTTGTTACGAATCGTCTTTTCTGGAATAGGCCTCTAAAATTAAGCCCGAAAGTATTTAAAAATTATTCATTTTCGTGGTCATTATATGGTCTAATAACTGCGTAACCAAAAACAAAACCCTGGAAACGTATTGAATTTGCTGGAGGCAATGACCAAAAGAGGGGAAATCGTGATGATTTTACTGACGCTTCTATTACTTTATTACCGGCGTCATTTTCCGTATTTTAGTCCCAGTGGTTTTATAATGTTTACACATAGGCCCCCACTGTGTGTCAGAAAATCGATAAACTAAGCCCCGGATAACTATCCAGCACCCCTACTTTATATTATATACGACATGATCGAAATCCGGACAATTACTCACACATCAATAAATATATCGTATCTTAAGGGTCTCACAAGTATCAAAAGCGCTTGCCCATATCGCGATGTGTGTAGGAGGCATATACACGTGCTTTCCGTGGGGATGCATTTGTTTTGTTTTTTATTAAATCGCCAAAGGCAAAGTTGCTGTGCCGGAAGTATACAAAATAAGGCCTTGTGTTTACACGCTCAAGGCGGAAATAGGCCCCTTGGCGGGCGGTGGTCACATTTAAACCAACTTGGATCTTTAAAGCGTCAATTCGATCAGATCAGACGTACGTGATACAAGATTTGGGGCGTTTCAAATCCTGATCGTAACAAAGCACATGTTATAGGGATATATTTTAATAGTGACAGTAGACCTGTGCAATATTGCTCATACAACGTCTTGGCTACACTGTCAATATGTACATAAATCATAAATACGTTACTAAATATCTACGATCATTGACATAAAAAAATGTTCAAATCTAGTTGGTATTGAAGCAAAAACTAAAATATACATAAGATTCATCTCGCACAAAAATCATATCACAAAAATATATAAATGATAAATGCGTTTCTCGTTTCAAACATAAAGAAGCATCTGCATTGATAACATATACAACGTATTTACAGTGTCTGATCAGCGTATATTTATGACTTTAACAACTAGCAACAAGAGGGAAATGTACAATGAATACGCAAGCATTCAACGATAGGATACGTGTCAAAACCCAACGCGAGTTTTACTTGAATTGCGCACTTAAGTCACGAGGCTAGGTAATCCGGACAAAAAGAACATTGAAATATCGTTACAGTCACAGTACATTTTCAAACGTCCATATTTCCACTTAAGTGAAAGACAACGTTCAGGTGAAAATTTACATCATATACCTTATCTTGTGAACCTCCTTGCAGTTCAGAACCCCTGTAATCCGCATTGTTACTAATTAATTCAGAGAGAGAGAGCGAGAGAGTGAGAGAGAGAGAGAGAGAGAGAGAGAGAGAGAGAGAGAGAGAGAGAGAGAGAGAGAGAGAGAGAGAGAGAGAGAGAGAGAGAGAGAGAGAGAGAGAGAGAGAGAGGCGTCCCGACGGATCACAGACAAGGGTACACACACACAGGAGTTCACCTCACGTCTGACAGAAGCAGCATGTCGATTCACGGTAAGACAAAACATAAATATGCACAAAATGGGACAAAGGTAAGACCAACTGTTGACATATTCGTTAAAGCTTGGTCTGGCTAAAAGAGCTTTGACAGCTTAAAACACACTTCCGCCACAGGCCCCCACTGCGGGTCAGAAAATCCATAAACTAGGCCCCGGTTTAGTATCAACACCCCCTACTATATGTATTATATAGTAGGGGTGTTGTCTGAACTCGGAGCCCTTTATCGATTTTCTGACCCGCAGTGGGGGCCTGTGACTTCCGCCTTTGCTCCAAACCTAACGTCAAAAACTCTTAACTGACAAAGGTCGCCTTTACTTAATGAATGGACAAAAGCGTAACGCTATGAAGATATTTACATCGTGAAAACCTGTACAAGCGATGAGGTTACAAAGTAAGGGAGACAACTCTCATTGTCTAAGGAGCATAGAACTATCTTCATGATTTTAGAGCCGCTTCAAACACTGTCGTTCACTGCGATAATCGAGATTTTCTACGATTCATCCGCTTTCTGAAAAGAGAAATAATACCAGAAACTCTGAAACACCGAACTGAGGGTATTAATATGAAATCTCTCATACGCAACCATTGTTCGAAAAATAATCGGTAGTTCTGAAGTCGTTGAAACACAACGGAGTAGCTAGGTGAAAGATAACTAGCTCGTACATGGTAATGCTCTTGTAGTGTGTTATCCTGTAATACTGTGAGAGATTAGTGATCCTATGAAACTAGTTTGTTTGTATCACAGTCCCACCCGCTAAACAGTATGAAAGGCACTATTCAAAGTAGTTGCTCTTCTTATAATGAAGTAAGGGGTAGACACATGAACAGTGGGTGGGTTAGTAGGTTGAACGTCGGGTATGTGGGTGGTTGAGTGAGCAGGTGGGTAGGTTGGTGGTTCAGTGAGCAGGTGTGTAAGTTCGTATTTAATTGAGCAGGTGTGTAAGTTCGTATTTAATTGAGCAGGTGTTTAAGTTTGTATTTGATTGTGCAGGTGTGTGGGTTGGTGTTTGATTGAAAAGGTGTGTAAGTTGGTGTTTGATTGAGCAGGTGTGTAAGTTCGTATTTAATTGAGCAGGTGTTTAAGTTTGTATTTGATTGAGCAGGTGTGTAAGTTGGTGTTTGATTGAGGAGGTGTGTAGATTGGTGTTTGTGTGAGCAGGTGTGTAAGTTGGTGTTTGATTGAGCAGGTGTGTAAGTTGGTGTTTGATTGAGGAGGTGTGTAGGTTGGTGTTTGATTGCGAAGGTGTGTAAGTTGTGTTTGATTGAGCAGGTGTGTAGGTTGGTGTTTGATTGAGCAGGTGTGTAGGTTGGTATTTGATTGAGCAGGTGTGTAGGTTGGTGTTTGATTGAGGTGTGTAAGTTGGTGTTTGATTGAGCAGGTGTGTAGGTTGGTGTTTGATTGAGCAGCTGTGTAAGTTGGTGTTTGATTGAGCAGGTGTGTAGGTTGGTGTTTGATTGCGAAGGTGTGTAAGATGTGTTTGATTGAGCAGGTGTGTAGGTTGGTGTTGGATTGTGCAGGTGTGTAAGTTGGTGTTTAATTGAGCAGGTGTGTAAGTTCGTATTTGATTGTGCAGGTGTGTACGTTGGTGTTTGATTGAGCAGGTGTTTAAGTTTGTATTTGATTGTGCAGTAGTGTAAGTTGGTGTTTGATTGTGCAGGTGTGTAAGTTTGTATTTGATTGTGCAGGTGTGTGGGTTGGTGTTTGATTGAGAAGGTGTGTAAGTTGGTGTTTGATTGAGAAGGTGTGTAAGTTGGTGTTTGATTGAGCAGGTGTGTACGTTCGTATTTAATTGAGCAGGTGTTTAAGTTTGTATTTGATTGAGCAGGTGTGTAGGTTGGTGTTTGATTGAGAAGGTGTGTAAGTTGGTGTTTGATTGAGCAGGTGTGTAAGTTCGTATTTAATTGAGAAGGTGCTTAGGTCGGCATTTGAGTGAGTGCGTTCAGTTGGTATTTGAGTTAGCGGGTGAGTAAGGTTTTTGACGAGAGAGTGAATGAGTTTGTGTGTTTGTAAGTTGGTGTTTTAGTTAAGTAAGTTGGAATAAGTTGATATATCGAACTAGGTTCTTCGTCATGCCAACGAACACTTGAACTATCAGGCTGCCTAACACCTTAATTTCACAAAAACAATACAATCTTTACATTTTCTTACCTTTTTCGTTTTATGGCTGTTTTCTTGCGTTTGCCAATTTTGTTTGTTTTCTTTAGACTAGTCCTGCCTTTGTGGACGCCATTACTACGCCGGCGTCCGGATGAAGGCGGTCGGTGAAGTCGGCGGTCCCATTTCTGTAACAGACGAGTCGATGATTACTTCCCCGAAATACGTGAGGATCCGGGTTATAATTGATCTTCAGTAACCCATGCTTGTTGTAAGAGGCGACTAACGGGATCGGGTGGTCAGGCTCGCTGACTTGGCTGACACATGTCATCGTATCCCCACTGCGTAGATCGATGCTCATGCTGTTAATCACTGGATTGTCTGGTCCAGACACGATTATTTACAGACCGCGCCATATAGCTGGAATATTGCTAAAAGCGGCGTAAAACTAAATTCACTCACTCACCACTCCTCACTCACAATAGTTGTCACTGCCGAGAGATGTGTTCGGTTCTTTAAGCTTTAAGTCTCTTATCTTCAAGCGCGATCAGAGCGTCTCCGAGTAGTAACGCTAAGAAGAAGGGGATGCGTTTTAGAGTGTCCTGCCTACGGAACCTGATAACGTTTGTTGAGACCCGTTTCAAGGTACACGATACTTGACTAGTCTGACAAAACACTCATGAAGATAAGGCTATCATATTAAGGCAGATAACCTTGCGTTTTACAATTTACTGAGAAATCCATTAAATCATTGACCATGAGGACAGTAACCCCACAGAGGATAGATGTCGCATGTCGACTGAGGGTTTTACTCTGACGCCACTCTGACAGTATTTAATTAATTACCGTATTCATCCTAATCTAGGAACTCCTAAAACGACATGTTAAGCTAATCTATTGAGAACGGATATGGACAATGAATGGATGGGTAAAACGTTGCCATATAAAAAAACACGAGTGATGATTCCTGTTTATCATTTTCACACGGTTAATAAATGCATCAATATTTACATTAGAAACTTGTCAGAATCCTACATAGATATCGGCGTAGTGATACATGTTTTCCATTTCCGTGTGAACCAAAATAGACAAGCTGTTAACTCCTTCCTGGCATATTCATTCACTGAGAAAAAATGTCCCGCGGATTATCTAAATAAATGCTTAACAGATTCTTTCGGAGTAACTGAAGCCTAAATAACGGTATGAAGAAATCGATTTGTCATTTGACTATATCTCCAGTATAATTTCACTGATATTTAGCTTTCGAATCAAACTGCGAGCGCCGGCGAAAAATATCCCACTTCCGGTTAGCTAATTTGCATATTTCTGTCATTGGGGTATGACTAGCCAAGGCTGTACTGAATGCTGAGCCCATGGATGTACAGTAATTCTGTCCCCCGAAGAGGCAAGTCTAGATAAGTGGACAGTATGGTCCCCAGTCTGTTGTTTATTATTTTTTTAGAAATTATCATTTAAGCTATTAATTTTTACCTTAGAGACTTGGGCAAGACAAGGGTATGACGTCTTTTACGTCGTAAGCTTATATCAACGTATTACATGCTTTAGTTAAATTACACACACACACGTAAGCACGAACGCACGAACTAATCGGAATCGTCCTGATCGTTGGCTCCTACCTGAATCTTCTTGACCCACTTATCCTTCCACTTGGCCGCTATTGTGTTGGGCAGGATAAGGAGCCTGTTAAGCCGCTTGTCCTCGTGGCCCAGGATCAGGTATTCCCTCCCCCTTTTGACCGAGGGACACAGGCAGCTGGAGTTGGTCCACAGGTCCACCTCGCTGGTCAGTCCAACCTTGCCGCAGCGTATCACATTGGTCACTTGCACTCTGACCTTCATCTGGCCGCCACTGTTTAACTTCTTCCGGACCACGCGAGCTCTGATTGCTGATGAAAAAAAAGGACAGAGTGAGTGAGTGTGTGAGAGTGTGAATAGGGTTTTCGTGAGGTACAAGTTTAGGGTACTTGGGACATTTGTGGGGCACCCACAGAGGTTGATTGAGTCAAACTAACCCATATTCTTCTAATGGGTAAGGGAGCAGTAGGGTAGCCTAATGGTAAAAGTGTTCGCTCGTCTCGCTCAAGACCCGGGTTCGATTTCCCACATAAGTACAATCCATATAAACTCACAAGATTTGCAAGCACCATAACCATCTTCTTTAGAAAGATTACAATTGTTAAAGATATGAATTGGCCTCATCTGAATACTACTGAAACCGCTTCAACACTCACTCACTAACATCCTCATTCACCTATTAGGTTACTTTGTCACTCATTCATCCATCTAAACTCACCAGGGGGCGACAGTCGAGTGGTTAAGCGTTAGCTCGTTACGCCAAAGATGCGGGTTCGATTCCCCACATGGGGACAATGTGTGAAGCCCAATTCTAGTGTCCCCCGTCGTGATATTGCTCAAAGCGTCGTAAAACTAAACCCATTCACTCACTCCAAACGCACCCACACACTCCCACATTCACTCACTAACTCTATTCTCACCATAATCATAGTGGTGCTTTCTGTAATTCCTCCATTTTGGACGAAGACGTTTTCTGCATTTGCAATCTGAAACATAAAGATGAAAGAAATGGCATATGGGACGTTAAGTGTTTCAGTTCAATATGAAATATATGCTCTTTTGCACGAATAGAACCAAGGATATATTAGAGCCAGATATCATGACACGTCCTGGGTTAGCTGGTCACGAAGTCTCGCCAAGGTGAGTGAGTGAGTTTAGTTTTACGCCGTAGTCAGCAATATCCCAGCTGTATGGCGGCGGTCTGTAAATAATCGAGTCTGGACCAGACAATCCAGTGATCAACTCTCGCCAAGGCCACGCACAAGTTGTAACATATCATAGTGTTGGCCCGGTAAATGCCTTGGGGTGGGGGAGGGGGTGGGACAGACGATGACTTGGGGTGGGGACAAAGATGAACATGACAGTTAAGCACGAGCCACTCCATGTTTATTACTAGTACAGTGACTACGTGTTTCTTCTTATGGTGAAGTTGGGACCAATATGGATTTCTGAAATATCCGTATCACGTATAACATTGCAAATGTGTAACATTGGCAGTGGTGTATCATCGTTCCGTCCCCAGACTGCGTAGTGCGATACTCTCTCCCACGTTTCCATGTGTCTAGCCAGTGTAGTGTTGTGTAGGGTCATAGTATATCCTATTATTCCCCGTCTATAGTCACTGTAGTGTGATGTAGGGTCTTATTACATCACATCACTCCCTGTCTCTATCCAGCGTAGGGTCTTAGTATATCACATTATTCCCCGTCTCTATCCAGCGTAGGGTCTTAGTATATCACATTATTTCCTGTCTCTAGCCAGTATATGGCCTTAGTATATAACATTATTCCCCGTCTCTAGTCAATGTAGGGCCTTAGTATATCCTATATTCCCCGTCTCTAGCCAGTGTAGGGTGTGAGTATATCACAGTATTCCCTGTCTCTAGCCAGTATAGGGCCTTAGTATATCACATTATTCCCCGTCTCTAGCCAGTGCAAGGCCTTAGTATATCACATTATTCCACGTCGCTAGCTAGTGTGGGGCCTTAGTATATCACATTATTCCCTGTTTCTAGCCCGGGTAGGGTCTTAGTATATCACATTATTCTCTGTCACTAGCCCGGGTAGGGATTTCGTATATCACATTATTCTCTGTCTCTAGCCAGTGTAGGGTCTTAGTATATCACATTATTCCCTGTCTCAAGCCAGTGTAGGGTCTTAGGATATCACATTATTCCCTGTCTCTAGCCAGGGTAGGGCCTTAGTATATCACATTATTCCCTGTCTCTAGCCAGGGTAGGGTCTTAGTATATCACATTATTCCCCGTCTCTAGCCAGTGTAGGGCTTAAGTATATCACATTATTCCCTGTCTCTAGCCAATGTAGGACCTTAGTATATCACATTATTCCCCGTCTCTAGCCAGTGCAAGGCCTTAGTATATCACATTATTCCCCGTCTCTAGCCAGTGTAGGGCTTAAGTATATCCCATTATTCCCTGTCCCTAGCCAGTGTAGGGCCTTAGTATATCACATTATTACCGGTCTCTAGCCAGTGTAGGACCTTAGTATATCACATTATTCCCTGTCCCTAGCCAATGTAGGGTCCTAGTATATCACATTATTCCCTGTTTTAGACAGTGTAGGGCCTTAGTATATCACATTATTCCCTGTCCCTAGCCCGGGAAGGGTCTTAGTATATCACATTATTCTATGTCTCTAGCCAATGTAGGGCCTTAATATATCACATTATTCCCTGTCTCTGGCCAGTGTAGTGTGATGTAGGGTCTTAGTATATCACATTATTCTCTGTCTCTAGCCAGGGAAGGGTCTTAGTATATCACATTATTCCCTTTTTTCTAGCCAGTGCAGGGCCTTAATATATCACATTATTCCCTGTCTCTATCCAGTAAAGCGTGATTCTTACTAACATTATTTCCAGTCAGTCTGATATAGAACAGCACAGGTATAAATCCAGACATGACACAACATAATCTCACCACTGGTACGACATGTCTTAATTAATATCCTTCCCATATAGTCTGTCATCTTGCGTAAAACCAACCCACCTTAGCGACCACATTTCTTTGAAAAACATTATGAAACGACTCCGAAAATGAATCGCTGCAATAAAGGGAGCACTGTTATTGGCCTATAAATATTTCCGCTGGGACGCGAGGAATGGTCGGATTGTCTGCGCACCTGCAGATAGCCGTCTGATTGTTTCTTATGTCACAAAACACCAGCTTCAATCGGCGTAATAGATAAAATATACACGCCACTTGACGTTCCGTAAAGCCACAACATGCTTTAGTTTGAAGCATACACCAATTACACTAATATGTTAATTCCTAGTGACGCAACCATTAAGTGGGGAGTAAGGTTGGCCAACAAACACTACCGTATTTCCTCAGGAAGTTACCCGGGATTGTATTGATTTAGCATAGTCGTCATTCATTGCATCTTACCTTTAGAAGTTTAGACAAGGAGCGTGTAATTTCAGATTAAATTACAACACGGACATTGTTCCAAGCTTGTTGATTAAAGACGGGGCGGGATCTTTACAGGTATTGTTTTGCCTTGTACTTAGAGATACCGGAAGTGACGTGGAGGAGCGGGTTAATTTTTATAAAGTGTAGTTTGGTATTCAAACGTGATGACGATACAATGTCAGCCTGTATGACAAGATAAGCGCTTATGTCATACCATCTCTCATCTACTACTACTACCACTACTACTACTACCACTACCACTACTACTACCACTACTACTACCACTACCACCACTACTACTACCACTACAACTACTACTACTACCACTACCACTACCACCACTACTACTACTACCACTACTACTACCACTACCACCACTACTACTACTACCACTAGTACTACCACTACCACCACCACCACCACCACTACTACTACTACCACTACTACCACTACTACTACTACTACCACTACTACTACCACTACCACCAACACTACTACTACTACTACAACTTCTACTACTACAACTACTACTACTACTACGTCCTCAGTGAACATTGCTTTCATTCGGGTCCCCAAAAAACAAGTATTGACCACCTAAAATGTATTATAGCATTATTAATATAACTGATACCCACTTCACAGCTAATAATGAAGATATTCTGTACAGATTAGTGCCTGTTGTTGAAATTCAGACAATTAAAGATAAAACGATCTGTTTACAACATACTCCCAAACATCTGACCATATGTAATATCAGCCTAATGGTCATCATGTATAATATTGATCCTGTGTATCTGCTTGAGTATTGCTAGGCTCACAACTGGACTACTATTTTTCAGAGTCACATAGAATACGTGTTTCCTGGTTCAAAAAACGTGGAGAAACTGTACAATATATGGTTAATTACAGCAGACAAGCATTGGGTTAACACAAGCTGTAACACGGGCCAGTAGCAGCCCGCTAGCACCACTTCCTGGAAACATATACCAATTGTTTTTCTGAGCTATCATCAGTGCCACACACAGAAGCTGTGGAGGAATCTAGAAAGCGTCTAACCTGATAAAGCCCAACTCTTCTCAGCTGTGGAACTGTATGATGAACACCCAAGTCCCGGGGGAACCCCCAAAATAGCCAGCTTCTAACAACAAAGGAATTCCAACCACCTATCAAAAATTTTGGAATTCCAGAACTCATACTTTTAGAAAAAAAACTGATAGCGATGACCTGAACTATAGGTGCACTTTGTGTAGCAACAGGTCTGTGTGATTCCCAGGATCCATACACAGGGGGGTGACTTAAACTGTTCTCCGCGCCGGCTTAATCATTGATGCAAAGGAAGGGGATCTCTTTGATGGTTAAATGACGTTAAAGGAACGGGCAACCAGACCTATCTCCAAATATCCTTAATATACTAGGTTCCCTATGATGTGTCCTTTGACAGACTGAGTCATGGCCTCACCTATCACTCGCGTTACAGTCTTCAAACGTATCAGCTGACGGTGGAAGACGTTCAAACAATTAAGCATGTAGCTATCTTAAGGAGCGATTTTATCAGCTATAACGAGAACCATTGAGTCAGATTATTTTCTTGTTAGGAAATACCTGCCTATGTCTAACTGATGCTCGTTACACAATGTCAGCCCAGGGGCCTGAGGTAACGCGGTGGTTGGCGTGAAAGAAGCTGTATGTACACATATGATCAGACCACTGTCAGACTGACCACTCGACCAGTGAGGCTGGAGCAATCACCAATCGAAGAGCTATCATTTTGACTGGGTTTTGGAGTTTGACTGGGTATAGGAGGAGTGAGGCTGGGTATAGCAGTTTGACTGGGTATAGGAGGAGTGAGGCTGGGTATAGGAGTTTGACTGGGTATAGGAGGAGTGAGGCTGGGTATAGGAGTTTGACTGGGTATAGGAGTTTGACTGGGTATGGGAGGAGTGAGGCTGGAGCAATCACCAATCGAAGAGCTATCATTTTGACTGGGTGTTGGAGTTTGACTGGGTATAGGAGGAGTGAGGCTGGGTATAGGAGGAGTGAGGCTGGGTATATCATTTTGACTGGGTATAGGAGGAGTGAGGCTGGGTATAGGAGGAGTGAGGCTGGGTATAGGAGTTTGATTTGGTATAGGAGGAGTGAGGCTGGGTATAGGAGTTTGACTGGGTATAGGAGGAGTGAGGTTGGGTATAGGAGTTTGACTGGGTATAGGAGTTTGACTGGGTATAGGAGGAGTGAGGCTGGGTATGGTAGGAGTCTATTTAGAGTACAACAGCATTCAGATTAAGTATAGGAGCAGTCAGAGGGTTTGTTTTTTGTTTAACGCCGCACTCAGCAATTTTCCAGCTATATGTTGGCGGTCTGTAAATAATGGAGTCTGGACCAGACAATCCAGTGATCAACAGTATGAGCAGAGTCAGATGGGTATCGGGGCAGTCAGGTTAGGTATAGGAGCAGTCAGATTAGGTATAAGAACTGCCAGATGGGTATAACAGCAGTCAGACGGGGTAAAGGAGCAGTCAGATAATACCACGATAACAGTTTATTGAGTGTTCCAGTGGC